TGGCCGTGCCTCAGCCCTGCGCCAGCACACGTCCCGCCTCTGAAGGCAGCAGACTGCGTTTCTGAGAGGCTTGAAGGCGCGTGACAGGGACGGCAGACGATGTGGTCATCTGTGCTGATGCTGACAGTTCTTTTTCGGGAGTCAGCCATAGCGTCTCAGGCCTCATTGTGTCGAAGCTACTCTGCTCAAGGAGCATCCCCTCTGATCACGATCTCTACATTGAAAAGAAGCTTGCTTGGCAACTGCACCCTTAGGGTGGGCATCTCCGATGCATGAGTATTTGATTCCACCGTAGCTCCTGCTGAGTTCGGCGTGGAATCTGCTGCCGTTGACGGTGCTGTGGTGATGACTTCAACTGTTCCCGTGCCGCCATGTGTAAGCATGGTCGGCACTGCCTTCACTCTAGCTGGTCTTTTTGGGGGAGTTACTCCACCCGTCCGTTCAGCAGTTACTGAGGGAGGTAGATTGACCGGCTTCGGAGGCGGAGGACCTGCTGGTGGTTCCGAGGAAGACCTAGGAGCACCCATCACGAGATTGCGTCCTGTAGGCGGCGCCTTAGCTCCGGGGATCTCGTCATCTGAGTCTTCGATTTTGTCACTGGACGAGCTAGCACGTCTTGCTCTTCTCGTTCTTCTCACTGGCGGTGGGGTTCTGGACACGTCGCGATCTGTAGTTCTCTTCGGTGTTTCCGCCATGACTATTGGGCTGATCTCTTACTTGAACCTGAAGAAATCCGCACGGTCAAAAGTCCTGGCAGTTAACATAGCACGACGCTGCCACTGTTGGTTATGCCTTTTTTTCCCGCTGCTTTTTGACAAGTTAGCATTTGGGGAGAGTCTCCTCCATTCTAGAAGAACTTCGAGGGAGATCCTCCGCTCGAAGAACAAATCTGGTGGGACTACCATGGCAACCTTAGGCAAACCTAGAGCAATGAGCTAAAAGAGCTGAGAAATTAGAAGGGGGAACTCTTGCTGGGGAGAGACTCCACCTGATGATCACTACCGGGAGTTACTCCTCGAGATGCTAGATGCGCTTAAAGAGGGGAGCCCCACCTATCGTACTTAGCTTGGTCACGCAAGCTTTGAAAATATACTATGGCCTCCGGAGGAACGTCTTCAGCCGTGAGAATAACGCCGTTCCTGCTTCGCAGGAAGCGAACTCCCATTGATATAGCCGTTCTTGTGTTAATGGCTACCGCCATCGTTGAGCTGGCCCTCATGCCGGATACTACTGCCTCTTGGCTGCTTCCTGAGGTCGTGAAGTGGACGTGTTTCCGCCCTTCTCCGCCCTTAACGCCGCCCTTGCCTTTAAGACGGCTCTGCGGTAGTAGTCCGGACGAACGTATAGAGTCAAAGAGCCTCCATTGAGTTCCATGAATGATTTCTTCGGGGAGTTGCTCCTCCGTTAGTACTTCCAGGACGGCTTCGTCATCAACATCTGTTCTGGAGTGCCCCTGGACCGCTCTCACATAGCGACACCCATCTGTTGCACTGCGCCCCATCTCAAAGCGACTCTTTTCGTTGGAGCGTACAACTTCCATGAGGTCTCCAGCTGTAGCTTGCTGGTCCCGTATCCTTGGCCATTCCAGGAGATCCACCACTCTGGCCCACCCCGCTGGGGTTATGGCAATATGAGGTTTATGTCCATGCCGCAGGCAAGCTGAGAGAGCCTTGGAGATTGAGGTTGCATGGGAGCTTCTGGGATTCGTGGAGTCTTCCCGAAACGCTCCCAAGCTCCCAGCGTCTCCTATCCAGTGCTGTATGTCGTCCTCTTCTTGCGGTACCTTCTTTGATAGACTGGATGCTCCGGCTTCTGTACCCTGGTTTGAGGGAGAAACTCCACTCTTAGTCTCAGGGGGAGGAACTCCACCCTTNNTCAAGGGAGTGTCTCCACTTGATTGTGCTATTGACGTCTTCCTGCCTACATCTGGCTGCCAGGTCTTCTCAAGACCCAAGGAGGCAAAGGCCTCCTTGGTGCTTTCGAGTGGCACTTCTAGACCTCCAGACCACTCTCGAATGTGGTCCCCCAGCTGCATGTGCTCCTTCGTGACGATCTGTAGGAGAACGGCTGTAATCTGCACGCTGTCGTAGGCCAGAATTAGCTGGTTCGTTTGTTTTCCTTTCTTTTGAGAGCCATCTATGTCATATAGAACTTCAAGCATGGCCCTCATCAATACATTTTTGGGTCCGCAGCGGGTTAGCAAAGCATAGCCCGCCGCCAGATGTCTATTTACCTCCTTGTGGAGATTGACACCAGGGCGACCTTCGAAGTGCCTGGCACCTTCGATGACGGAGGATGATGGTAATATCCTGCCAGTCGCCAAAATGGCGTGTAGGCATTCGAGGTGCGTTCCGTGGAACGCTTTCTCCCCTTTCTTTGCCAATGCATTCGGCGAGGAATAGGGAAAGCGGAACCAGCTTGCATCCTCCTGTTCTGGTTTCCCCAGCAGCTGCGTGAGGCTTTCGCCGTAGAGCCCAGCGCGGGATGCCAGAAAGGTTACCATCAGTGAGGCAGCTCGCTAAGTCCTTCGCGAAGCTGCTTGGTCACGGCAACTGTGATCCGGTGGACATTGAGGTCCTTGATCGACCCATCGCAGCCAGCTTGGAGTGGCGGGTAGGGGGTGTACCCCTCCGAAGCCAGCAGGTTAACAGCCTCATGATATTGTGGATCATCGGTGTGCGCTGGTGAAGAGTCCGCTTTCGAGGAACTACTGCCAGAGGGAGCTTCTCCACTCTTGGCTTTGGCTGTAGGGGGAGGATCTCCACCCTCAACCTCCTTGGTCTGCCGCTTCCTTGTCGCTTGTGGGGGAGAGGGAGGCAGATCGTTGCATGCTTCTCTCTGTGATGCCCCCTTGTGTTCGCCTTTTCCTTTGTGGCGAGGATACTCCTCTCCATGTGCACGCGCTGCACGCCGCCACTGACGCAGGTAGTTAGGATAAGTGACGTAAGGGAGCTGGCTCCTCTCACGCTGCTGGCAATATTCCTCGTACTCAGCATGATATGAGGGGTCTTGCGAAGATTGCGACATCAGTGGCTGGAGAGCTGCAACTTCTGGGGTAAGGAGGCTTAAGCTGAGAAGGGAGGGGGAGGCTGAGGATTACGTTGGGACTCTATCATCTTAGTTCTTGAGGGAAGCGAAAGAAAGCAAAAACTGCTGCAGGTTGGTTCGTGCTCAGACTCGGAATTACTTCCTACTTTCAGAGCGAGTGGCCGAAGTAAGTTAGAAGAAATGTCGATGAAAGCACTCTCAGCGCGGGGCGTTCCTGCGACGATGTTGTGAGCGGAGTTACTCCAGCTGTCCTCACGGCTCAGCAGAATTGTTCTCTGCATTTAGGCACACATGTGGCGGTCTGCGAAATTATGCGCTCCTATTTACGCTTTGAGACGCGGTTGTTCCAAAAACTCTGAGGGGAGAGGCTCCACCATAGGGAGAATCTCCACTACTGTGAGTTCGCCGGCTTAGGGAGAATCTCCGCTGTACAAAGAGATCTGCCTCCGGCGATACAAAGTGCTCGGGGAGAGGCTCCTCCTGGGGGAGTTTCTCCTCCTTTTCTGCTTTGGGGGAGGATCTCCTCCTTTTCTGCTTTGGGGGAGTAGTCTCCTCCTATTCCCTCTGAAGGGGGGTGCTTCCTCAGGCGGTGACGATTACGTATGGGGAGAATCTCCACCTGGGGGAGAATCTCCTCCTGCATTGCTTAAAGGGGAGATACTCCTCCTTATTCTTTTCCAGGGGAGAATCTCCTCCTGCTGCGATCTCAGTCCTCTGGCTGGGCCTGTAGGCGGCTGCTTTGCACTTCCCACTCAGCAGCAGCTAAATTAAGCGTTCTGTCCTGTTCGAAAAATCGCCCACGGACCGTTTCTGTAGACTCCAGGTATTGAGTCCTGAGGGGCTCCACCAGCAGCCGGGCCGTGTAGGAACCTATGTAGGTTTCCCGTTCCAGGGCCACCAAGTCGAACGTGTGCAAGTGCTGAGCCTGGGCTGCGAACGCTCCAGACTGAAGACGAGCCGCCGCCAAGTAGGTGAGGCTCAACTCCATCAGTGCTCTCCTCCTGCGGCGCCGAATTTCGTCCCACTCTCCGAACCCGTGCAAAACGCCCAGGTGCTGCATGAGTGTACGGACGCCGTCTGGGGGGAGCAACTCCGCCGCCAGACACATGAGTTGGTCCCTTGTCATTATCGCCAACGCCTGGACCCTTGTCTCCAAGTCACGGAGGGCCTCACCGGGGAGCATCTCCGTTCCGGTTGAGGCCAGGTGCATGTGTAGGAGTCCCGCGAAGGTAGGGATCAGGGCCAGCGTGAGCTGAGTTGGACTGCAGTCGTACACCATGTTGCTGCGGGGGACTGCTTGAGTGCTTGAATCACTGAATGGCTGAGGCTTGCAAGGTCGGTTGACTGAAATGCAGTAACTAAGCCGTCAGGTACTAGCTGTTCTGTCCTCGTGTCCTCAGAGATCGGCAGCATGTTGATGTACCTGGCGTAACGCAGGAAGTGGGTGGGGTTTAGTTTTGAGGAGCTCTTATTCTGTAAGTGTCTGATTTTTGGCTCAGTCACAAGAGAATTAGGGGAGAAGCTCCACCTGTACACGAGGGCTTGATGGATCTGAGGGGAGCTACCCCACCTTGTTGTCAGACTTCTCATGAAAGCCGGCATCACCTACTCGTGAGGTGGGGCCGACTACACTCGGGTTTGATCTTAGATCAAATCCCTTATCTGACGAATCAGGGGTGACGGTTGCAATCCCTGTTTTT